TTCAGTAACTTGCCCAGTTACCCAGCTAATAAGTGGTGAAGCCAGGATATAAAATAAACTGCGGTCGTCTCAAATTTCCTCCCCGCTCCTTCCCACACAATTTGGATTCAGCTAATTTAGAATGAGGCCCCTGGACTCAGCACTTAAGTCTCCAGATGATTCCGAAGCAAAGTCGGGTTGGAAACTACCCCATTAAATCAATATACTGTGCCCTGGATGGCTGGCTAGTTCCTTACCCACGCCTTAGAAATAAGCTCATAGTCACGTGACTCAGGACCCTTTCATCATCCAGGTAGTAAACAATGCTGAGAAGCTGGTGAATTTTAGGAAACAGTCCCAGGCCACCTCGTTTAAAAGCACAAGTGGGAAGCCGGCAACGAGGGGGCAGGATCACAAAGGCCTGCGTAGAGGTGAAAGGCAGGCTTCCTGGGAGGGCACTGCACTGGGCTGTGACACAGGAGCACACTCTGGAGACACGGAAAAGAAGGAGGGAACACCAAGGGTCCTCTGAAAAGTGGTAGAAAATGGTACTAAAAATGCATTTATTTTGATGCAAATCAAATTAGAAATCCATACATAGGTTTTTTTGTCATACTTATTTTTCATGAATTTTTGAAGATTCCCCGTAGAGTGGATGCAATTTTTTCTTTTAAAAAGTTTTTTTTAGTAAATGTAATATACATTTTACTGAGAACAGTGCAATGTTTCATCACATGTATCGACATAAACTGATCAAATCAGGTAATTAGGATCTCTAGTTCCTGATCTTCATGTTTGGAGCTTACAAGGTTTTCTTTTCCAGGTCTTCGGCAGTATATGATACGTTATTGTGAACCAGAGTCGTCTCTGCGCCTGGAACACCAGGCTGATCACTCCTAACCCCTTTTTGGTGCCCTATGCATCCTCCCTCTAGATCCTCTTTGCTACCCTTCCCCACCTGTGGTAATCACTCTTCTAAGTTCAAATCGTCATTTTAAAGTTTCCTTATGAGAAAGGGCTTCCAAACATTTTGGCACCAAAATAAACACCTTTTTTTTCTTTTTTTTTTTTTATGATTTACAGAGAGGGGCCTGTGCCGTGGTGTAGTGTGTAAAGCCGTCAGCTGCAGCACCAGCATCCTACATGGGCACTGGTTTGAGTCCCAGCTGTTCCACTTCTGATCCAGCTCCCTGCTAAGGGTCTGGGAAAAGCAGCAGCAGATGGTCCAAATGCTTGTGCTCCTACACCCACGTGGGAGACCTGGAAGAAGCTCCTGGCTCCTGGATTCGGCCTGGCCCAGCCCTAGTGGTTGTGGCCATCTGGGGAGTGAACCAGAGGGTCAAAGATACCTGTCTGTCTCTCCTCTCACTCTGTCTTTCAAATAAATAAATCTTTCTTTAAAAAAAAAAAAAAAGTTTACAAAGAGAGAGGGAGAAACAGAGACAGATCCATCCACGGGTCCACTCCCCTGGTAGCCACAACAGCTGGGGCTGGACCAGGCTGAAGCCAGGAGCCAAGAGCTTCTTCCAGGTCTCTTACTTGGGTGGCAGGGGCCCAAGCACCTAGGATATCTTCCACTGCTTTTCCTAGGTTGTTAGCAGGGAATGGCTCAGAAGTGGAATAGCTGGAACTCCAACCGGAGCCCAAGTGGAATGCTGTGTCGCAGGCGGCAGCTTTACCCACTATACCACAACATCAGCTTCAATCTTATCTTTTAATTCCATTTTCCATGAACCTTTTGAAGTATATTTTTTGTAAAAATTATTCATTTGTATATTTTTTCTAAAAATATTTTATTTATGTGAAATGCAGTGTGACAGAAGGAGAGACAAAGAGAGAGACTGATCTTCCATCTGCTGGTTTACTTTGCAAATGCTCACAACAGCTGGAGCTGGCCCAGACCAGATAGGAGCCAGGGACTCAATCTGGGTCTCCCACATGGGTTTCAGGGACCCAAGTGTCTGGGTCACCTTTGGCTGCCTTCCAGGATGCATCAGCAGGAAGCTGACAATCACTGCTCCCTGACTATCTAGCAAGATAAATGGAATCCCGCATCCCTAAAGGGCGATTCAGGTTGGTATTTACGGCCCAGTGAGTAGGTCCAACAGAACTGGACAGAGCTGAGAGTTCCTCTTACAAGTGCTGGAAATAAATTTGGAAGAGTAAGTTGGGATAAGATATAGCGCACCTTACAAGTGCCAGGTCCGAGTTTTGACTGAATGCTGTACACGACGGGAATCCATTGAAGTTTACAAGGATAAAGACATAATGATGCAGGAATCCGTTTAGAAGAAACACGCTCAGTCACTCGGCATGCAGGCAGGAGGACAGGGAAGACACCAGACTCGGGAAACCCCCGGGAAGGTGAAAGCAGCAACTCGGTTGTGGAAATGCCTTAGCGAAGGAGCGGTTATACTTGGACTTGAGAGTCATCGGATCAGGTTTTGCTACTGACCAGGCTGAGTGATTCAGAGCAAATTGCCTAACAACTCTCGGCCTTGGATTTTTTTTTTTTTTCATTGGGAAGCAGGTGTGATGACGACAGCGCTTGTACCCTGGAGTCTGAGCTAAAGTAGACCATGAGATTCTCCAGGAAGCCAACAGCTCTGGGATGCCAAGTGCATGTGTCAGTATTTTGAATTTGTTTCTAGACCTTTATGACTTACAAAACACGAGCCTTACAAATAGTAACAGGGAAATGAGCAGGCCTCTACTTTGTGGAAGATGAGGAAAGGAAGGGAAACTTCCTGAGTGTTCCAGGAATTATGCTGGAATTACCGTTCACCACACCCTTACAAGTAGGTGTTTTCTTAGCCCCAACTAACAGGTGACTTAACTAAAGCAAAAGATAGTAATTTGTTTCTGGATACAAACCAAGGTCTGCCTAAACCTCAAACATGGCCTTTTCCGGCTCTGTCATATTGTTTTAGACTTGTAAAATTGTATTTTTATTTCATCGGTTTGGCCTAATAATCTTTTGAGGCTATTTTAAATTTTGATTCTGACATCTACCACATGAATTCTCTCTCCAAACACTGGGTCATCTGGAGGGCCATTGATTCTGCTGAGATGGGGAACAAAGCTGGAGGAAGGCCGTTGTGAAGTCAGAACAGAGTAGGTGGCCTTGGCCCGTGGTGTTGGAGGCAAGGTTATCTGTCCAGAATAGATGCAGTCTGGTTGCAAAGTGGAGATCGGTGTTGATCCAGCTCCTAGGAATGAAGGTGCAGGAGGAAGTCAGAAACAGGAACGGGTGTGGGGAGCTGGCAGCATGGTGAGGCCCTGCCTGAGACACCTGTGTGCTGGGGCCGAGTGTTTGGGTTCAAGTCCCAGCTCTGCTCCTGACTCCAGCTTCCTGCTAATGCACAAATCTGGGAGACAGTAAGTGATGGCTCAAGGACTTGAGTCCCTACCACCAACATGAGCGAGCCAGATTTAATCCCCGACTCCTGGCTTCTGCCTGGCCCAGTCCAGCTATTGCTGGCATTTGCAGAGTAAACCAGTACATGGAATAATTAATCGATCGCTCTCTGTCTCCCCATCTCTGTCACTCTGGCTTTCCAATAAATAAAACTTTTTTTTTGAAACCCACAAAACAGAAGGTTTTCTGGTAAACAATAAAGGGAAAGTTGACCCATTTAGCCATTACCTTCATCTGTGGGAAGTCACAGACAAGGAAACCCCATTGAAAGAGATGGAGAAGACAGGTTAAAGAATTCGGAGATAAGTTGTCTGTGGAACACACAAGTCCCAGTAAGAGGAACCAAGGATATTACAGGAAAGCCATATAAAAAGTGGCTACATACACCTAACGATTCGTTTGACTAGGTTACTTAGAAGTGTACAGACCAAGAATTTTTCAACCCCTGCACAAATTAAGGATTCCATACTTTGGTGACAAGTTTATTTACAAACTAAAGATGCTTAACAGAGACTGACAAAAGACCCCCATTTCAGAGAGGGATTTTTCTTCTAAGAGAACCCGGTGTTCCTAGGGGAACCGTGTGGACTCTGGGGGTGGCCTTCTGCTCTGGCTGACCACTTCTGCCCCAAAGTGCTTCTACAATCTCTGCAATGTTTTGGTTTGGCGAAAACAGGAAACTGCCTCCATCCTAACTTCTGCCCAGACGACAGGCTAATTGGAAACCCTTCCTTACTCATTCAGTGGAATTAGGCATCTCGCAATCTCACTAGGTGTGAGGTAAGTCAATGCTTTCTGTTACTGGTGCTGCCAAATTTTGCTTAATATTCCAAACACCCAATCCTAAGATTATTCCTAAGGAGTGAGATTAACTACTACTGACGACACGTGAAAACAGTATTTTATAGTCACATCTCATGCCAAGCATGTCATCAAAACCTTCAATTCTGTTCTTGATGTGTGCTTACAAAGACTAAGGAAAAGCGAATCTTCGTCAAAATTTGCCCAAAGCGCGTCGGTTAAAGGGTTTGAGGAGGGGAGCCTGGTTGGGTGTATTTTAGAAAAAGACTTTTTAAGAAAGACATGCAGCCAGCCTGGCTCAGGCTTTCGGGCGCTCTTTCCGAAGGCGGGCAGGTGCACCGCGGGGAGAGCGAGGCGCGCACGTGTCGCGGGAGTCCGCGCGGATTTTCGGGACCACCTGCCCCCGCTGACTTTAAATGCCAGTCGGGGACACCGCTGCTGGTTGCGCTCCCGGTCCCCGGAGGCACGTGGCTGGGGGTAGTCGGGTTCCATGTCAGCTCTGGGGGAGTGTGTGCGCACGGGGAGGGGCAGGGGCGCGGGGAGCCCCTCTCCTCCCGCTGCTTCGCGCAGTGTCTCCAGAGGCCGGAGCCCCCCGCCGCCCCTCCAGCCCCCAGGTCAGCCCCGCTCGCGAGGTCCCGAGTGGCGGGAAGCCGGGTCTCCCCCGGAGGCGGCCCCCAGGCGAGGCGGGCTGTGAAACCTGGTGGAGGATCCGGTGCGCCCGGTGGGGGGCGGCTCGGGCGTTTGGGGGGGCAGGGGCCACGAGACTGCAGGTAGAAACAACCCAAGCGAGCGGGGGGGACCCCGGCGGGCGGGAGGCGGCCGGGCCCCTCCCGCGCCTCAGGCTGGTGGGGCGATGGCGGCGACGGTTTCCCGGCTCCCCCGCCCCGGACGCCGATGGCGGTGCGTTCCGGCCCTCCCCCAACAGCGTCTCCCCCGCGGTCGCCGGAGCCGGTGAGGCCGGGAGGGCGGGGAGCCGCGCAGGGAAGGCGAGAGGGCGGAGGTTGCGTGGTGCAGGCGGCGGCGGCGGCGGCGGGAGGAGGAGGAGGGCCGGGCGGGCGGGCAGGCAGGGGAGGAGGAGGAGGAGGCGGGCGCCGTGTCGCACGCAGCTCCAGGCGGGGCAGCCCCGGTGGCTGAGGGACGCGGCCAGACCTTGGCGGGACGGGGGGGGTTTCACCGGGACCCAGCGACCCGGCGGAGACGTCGCGGGAGCCTTTCGGGCGTTTGGAAATGCGGGTGAGTGTCGGCGGCCCAACGGAGGCGGCGGCGCAGGCCCGGCCTCGAGCCGCGGTGTCGCAGTGACTGGGGCCGCGGCGGCCGAGCGCAGGCGGCGGGCGAGGCCTGAGCCGCCGACCCGCGGCCGGGCGGAATGGCGGCCGGGCCGGGGGCCCTCGCGGGGCGGAGGACGCCGGGGGCGGGCGAGGGGCGAGCGGGGCCCGCCCTGAGTCACCCCGGCTGGCTCGGGCCTGCCTGGCCGGGCCGGGCCGCGGCTCCGGGGCGGCCAGGCCCGGACTACGCACCGGGAAAAAGCCCGATTCATCGCGCCCGGAGGCGGCGGCCTGCGTGGCGCCGGGCTCGCCTCCCGGAGGCTGGGCCGGCGTCCGCGCCGCGCCTCGCCTCGCCTCGTGCGGCGACCCTCGCGGGACGGCCGCGCTTCGGCCCTCTCTCCCTCCCCCGCCTTCCGGCTCGCGCTTCTCCCTCGGGCGTCGCTGGCATGCTCTCCGGCGCGCCTCCGGAGCGGCCGAGCCGGTCTCCCTGGCTCTCGGGTGCCCCGCTCGCTTTGTTGCGGCCGTGCAGGGCGCTATTATTGGGTAATAGTCTCCCCTTTGCTCCGTTCTCTCGGGGGAGCGGGCCGGCGCAGACGGCGCAGGGATGCCCGGGCGGCGGCGGAACCGGACGGAGCCCCTCGGCGCCCGCCGAGCGCTCTCGACTCGGCCCCAGGCCCTGCGCCCTGGCCTCGGCACGAGCGCGCGCCCCGAGCCGGGAGGGAGCCCCGGCCGCGGGGATTTGGGGTCCGCCAGGCACGCGGGTCGTGCGCTTCGGTGCCCAAGGCCCAGGTTAGCCCGAAAACTCCGGCTTTCCAATCACCTGTGTGGCGCTGTGCAGTGTAGACGTATGATTGAGAAAGAGAAATGCTTGGCGTTCCTTAAGATGAAGCCCCAAACTTGAGGGTGTCCCTTCTTGAGCTGGCTGTGCCAAAGAGGATTCTCTTTGCTGATTGGGTCACTGTTGCTGCCTGCAGTTCGTAGTAGGGGTTAGAGTAAGTGCGCAAATACTGAATTGCATTCAAGTTACTCAAGTATTTATTTACTCTGTGTAATTGTTCTTTGCTGCAGTAGCATTAAAATAGTCCAAAGTTATGAGTGGAGTAAAGGGTCACAGTGTTTTTGTAAATGCACTTAACAGATTGGAGAAGAGGAACTAAATTCATTCTTACTTTAAGCCAGGAGCTTCTAGCATGAGTTCCTGCCTTGCAGAAGTGTGTGCAGTTTAAAGTTTCGCAGTTAATTTTGGAGTGTCCCTCAAAATGGACCCGGCTTTCTGAAGTCCTGGAGCATTTATGTCACGTAGGATAATCTATGATGATCTGTTGAAAAAGTCGAACTAAGCATTTATTTTTGTAAAAAGTTTGGGAATGAGGTTTTTCTTTGTATTAGAAAGATTTTTGCTTCAAAGTCCTGTGTGTTGCTTTCCATAGTAAGTTGAAATAGTTGCATCGCATTTCAAATTCCAAAGCACGCAAACACAAGACTTGCTTTAACTCTATTATGCCCATTTTTGGAGGTTTCAGGAGAGTGCTCATTAAGCTTGAAAGATGGCTGAATTGTCTGCTTTTAAAAAGAAAAAGTTAAGCTTTGTTTCCCTTGGTACCGTTTAAAATTTTTTTTTCCAGAAAACAAACCAACTTGAGATACACTAGGTTTTTCATCAGTGTATACAATCCACTCTGCCTGAGAGCTTTGTGCTCAGGTCCCTGTAGGCACGTCCCGTCCCCCCAGCCTGCCCCAGGCTATGTGGCATCTCGGGACACACGCCTGAGCCCGACTGCTGGGTGTCCTTAGGGATCAGGGCTCGAGTACTCCTCTCCACTGATGGGGTATTCCTTTCTAACTCTAACTTAGTCTTGATCAGCAAAACAGCCTTATTTCCCTTACATTGCACGTGAACTCATTGAAGGCGGGGATGCTCCTTATTTATTTTTGAATCCTCATAGTAACTCAGAACTTGGTTGTGCTGGTACCTCAGTTACTGTTTTGAATGAATGAGTGACTTTTCCGGAATACTTGTAACTTAAACCCGATGTTTGACCACTTGTGCTGACTTAGGGTGCTGGTGAATGATGCCAGCTGTGTTACTGTTATGTTACTGTTACACACGCCTTGGGAGTAAACTGTTGTCTTTCTCAGGCTCCTTCTCCCCAGCCCTTGGCGCACTGGCACCCCAGCATCCACGCAGTGCCCTGCCAGGAGAACACAAGGTTTCTTTAGCTACAGACGCCCAGGAAAGTGCCAAGAAAACAGCCTGCGATCTAGTTAGCTTTTCTCCCCCTCCAAAACTTGTAAGGCTTTGAAAGAATATTTTTGTTTTTGTTTTGTTTTGTTTTTAAAAAAACAAGAGTGGCCCCAGGCCCAGGTTAAATATAGCTCTGCCTTGCCTTTGGAATCGGGGCTGAGGCTGGCCCACTGCTGCAGTGGAGTCTGGGGAAGCCTCTATGGGAGGAGCCGGCGTGGGTCCTCAGGCTTCGGGCACACGGTCACTCTGGGGCCAGCTGTAGTGCACCTTCCTGCAGTGTGGAAAATTCAAGTGAGTAAGCGCTGTTCTTCACAAGTCTTCAAACTTGAAACTGCAAGGCCTGTGGAAATGAAGTGTGTGTGTGTGCGGGGTGTGTGTGTGTGTGTGCGCGTGCGCGTGCCCTGCTGGCGCGGCCAGCCGTGGGTCCCCGAACCATGCCCTTTCTCCCCTCACGGGAGTCCGTCTGGGGTAAAAATTGTCTCAGTGACCATTCACTGCATTTTAGGTATCTGGAGAAAAGAGTGTTAACCACTTAGGGGCCTTGCTTTTAAAAAGTTGGTAATTTATCAGTTAGGTGACTTTCTTTTTGTTTTGCTTCAAGCCTGAGAAATGATTATTAACTGAAGAAAGTAAAATCTGGATGAAACCCTTAAGGTTATTACTGAAGACCTTATAAGCTCCCTGTTTATAATATGTATATTTAATATATACTATAGCAATTATAACAATAACTTTTACATGTTTTTATTCAGAGATAGGTCCTAGTTTCTGAAAAAGCTGAATGTGTGTGTGTTCGTGTGTGTAAGAGATTCATTTCTTTTTGCTTAGTATAGAACATTTTGCTTGGGAAAAACGACAAGAGGTCCAGTGTGAATTAACTTTGTTAGTCCTGTATTTCCTCATTTGTGAGACGACATGCATTTTCATTAACACTGTGTGAGATATCTTTAGGTCCTTGAAGCATGTGGCTTCTGTTGGAATGGGATACCTTTTAGCAGTAACAGCATTTTGTAAATATTGTCTTGGAGAGCAAGGTGTATCCTCCTCGTGTGCGATGGCAGAGTTGGAAAGCCCAGGTTTGCTGGTTACACTTGCCTTGGGGACCCTGGAGCAAGTGAGCCCAGCTCTGTGCTCTTTGGCTTTCACTGTCAGCTGGCAGTTCCACTTGCAGAATTTCACGTCTGTTTGCCTTTTCCCTTTCCTGCCGCCTGACAGTGCGGGCATTGCCATGTCTGGAGCGCTGGTGCTGATGCTGTGTGGGCTAGGGCTTTCCCTGGGCTGCTCTGGTCTTCTCCCACTGGGTGGCCTCCTCTAGGCAATGGGTGCTGTGGTGTGCCTCTGTTCCCATAGCCTCCGCACTGCTCCCACTTGAAATCTTTACAAAGCCCTGGGAAGTGCAGGTACCGCGGTGTAACCCACCTATAGAATGCAGGAGAAGGAGCTGAGGCTTTGAGTGGTTAAGGCTGGGCCTAGTAGGATGGTGAAGCCCAAGTTAAAATGAACAGTAACTCCAGAGCCTGAGCTTTTAACCAGACAGTCCCTAAATGCGTGATTTATGACATGGAATACTAAAGAGATTCAAATCAAAATGCTGTAAGGATTGACATCTGATAATTGGTAATTAGAACAATTCATCATTCAGAACTAGGATTTACTACCAAGAATAAACTTGTTCTTCCTGCTCTTTTAGTAACATTGAAGGAGAATAATTGGGCACTGATGGCATGGAAGTGACCAGCTTTGGAATTTTGGGGCTATTGTTCAGTTGGGTGTGATGTTAAGATTCGTTGGGCTTGCAAAAATTTGCAAAGCCATATAAGGTTGTTCAAATCTAACCAGCTTTAATTTTTCAAAGGCCTGTGTTAGACACTTTGAAAAAGATTGTGTGAAATGGGTGCAGCCATTTAAAATGAGTAAAGTGTGTATGCACTGTTGAAAATAACACAGTAAAAAATGATTGTAATTTTAGGGTGGTGACCTTGTGTGCTTTTAAAATGTTTTTCCAAAAAAAAAAAAAAAAAAACTTAAGGGCCAAAAGATAAAAGGTGGTTGGTGCTTTCAGGAGGCAGAAAACAGCACAGTAGTCACTGTAAAGGGACAACTTTGATTGCTGTAGAATAATAAAACTTCCATATGTGAAAAGTTTATAAATGGAATTAAAAAGTGAATGGCAAACTGAGAAAAGTAACTTTCAAGCAAATCTACTTTCTTTCCTACAAAAAAAAGGACCTCTCCAACTCATGGAAAAAATGGACAGACTAGTAATTTTTAAAAGCAAGAAACATGAAAAAGAAATTTTAGCTTCACCATCAGTACTGCCAGAAATACAAGTCAGTGAGATACTGTTTTTGTTCTTTCTTCTTAAAATTTTGACGTAGATGAGAAAATAAGCTGTTTGTGGCCAGGGTATGGACAGTAAGCCCACTCGTACATTGCTAGAA